CAAGCCATCAACAGAGCTTTGTCCTTCAAACAAGAGCAAGCAAGAGGCATAATGGAAACCATGGCAACGAGACAGCAAATAGACAGCACTGTTTAGGATGGATGGATGTATGGTTAGATGGGGTATCCTGAGAGGACGACTGAAGGAGAAGCCAATGAAGATGATGCGTAGCTGAAAAGAAAATCATTCTCAGCAGTGGTTTTCCACCCTATCTCCCTCCACATCTGAAAGTCTAAAAAAAACTCAGACATCCACCCACAGACAGACTCACAAACCCCAGCACACAGTCAAACATTTTCTTGGCAGATCTGTATGACCTAAAGGTGTTAAGTGGGCCAAAGCACCTTTACAATTTCCAACACTCAGCAATCAAAGTCACCCATTAAACATTTACAACCAACGGTATTAAGCTGGATACCAACAGAAACTATCTGGTTATAACCACTTATAAAGATTTTTGTCACAAAGCCTATTTTGTGAATGTTAGTTAGCAGCAGGCAGTGGCTTAAGGTTTCCTGAGGTGTTGTGCCGGTCCCCCAAGCAGTAATCAGGAATTACTATGTCAAGTTTAAAACAAACTTCACAGGGACAAACGTACAAGGATTAATGTGAATTTATTCTAATTTATTCCCCTCGTAATCCCTCATTGTACCCTTCATGAGTAGCTGTAAGCAAGCAGATGTGCTCACTTTCATCCTGGCAGTAATGCCCTCAGCTTGTCACCCATCAAATGGGTCAGAGAGATCACATTGCATCTTTCCTGTTCAGACTTAAATAAAGCAACAACCCAGATTGTGCATTTACCAAACTATAACTTCTGGCAAATTTAGGCCCGGACAATAAAAGATACCTGGTCAACCAAAACCAAAGGGTCAAATTATTTTTTACTAATTTCTTTCTTGCCTCTTTTCTTGTTGTTGATTTAACATAATATTTTCCTTTATCCCTGTGTTTTGTATGCAAGGAAAAACTTGTGAACAAAATACCTGGAACAAAATGGAATTAAACAAAAAATAAATCATGCGTTTACTCCAAAACCTGAGCTCATGGAGGATATATTTTTTTGTTGATTGATATTAGCATTTTCTTTCCACAACTGAAGCTTAAAGAAAGAATACATACAACAAAGTCACATGTTCATCTTGGAAATGGTGGGATCATGAGCTGAGGCTCATCCAAATCTAACATAAAAGAGTTGGCCGTGCACGGTGGGGATGAATGAAAGGGAAAGTTAACAGCGTCTGCGCCGAATGTGTCCTGCCAAAGTCATCAAAACACACCTGCTGTGCTTGCTAGTTGTGCTTTACTTTAGGTCTAAATGCACAACAGGGTCCGTCACAGTTTGCTGGATTTGGCTGACATTGACTGACAGTGTTTTGGTCTGAATTCCACTTTGCCATGCTATTTTCATGGATTCACAGGGATTCAGGGGCGAGCTGGGAAGAAGAGCAGAATGCACTGCTGCACTGGCACACTCCGAGATGGAGGTGGAAAGAATGCTGCTTTAGTCTGTTTATTCACTGCTTTTGTTATCTTCTTTTTTTCGTTTCTTATACCAGTGGACCAAAACTTACTCAGCCGATGGTTATGGCACGAATTTAAATTGATTTAACCCCCCCAAAAATCCTGTTTTTCATTAGAAAATATTGTCTGCATAATTGTTACCGAATATATATCCTCTTCCTTTGTTTTTGTTTGCCCTTGAATGAACCATATGCTTGCAGGCTGCTCATTTTTCATGTGGATTCATAAAAAGACCTCGCAGAGCACACCCTTAATACAGTTAGTCAAAGTTGTGACTTGATCTATGCAGTCAAACACTGAAAGCAACCAGTGTCAAAGCAGCTGAGGAAGACAGATTTAAACAATTTCCTCTCTTCTCGTCTCCACGTCCTCCGAGCCCCTCGGCTTTTCTCAATCTCTTTCCCGCCTTATTAAATTACCCCCATCCTCATTGGAAGGCCCGAAAGAAAACTGGTTATTCAAATCCAAATCAACGCTGACAAGTGAAGCAGATGTAAAGCAGAGAGAGAGGGGCGAACCTTGTACCTGACGTTGTTAGTATTAATGCGATTCCACTGCGAGAGGTGGGATCGATGCAGTCAGATGAAGGACTGTGTTAACATCCTAATCTCTGATAGCATCAGAGCAGCCAGACTATGGAAACTCCACTTCCAACCACTTCCAGAGACTCTGATGCCATTAGAGGACGACCTGTAGCACAAGCTCAAAGGGAATATCTGGATGGCCTTGATGACCCCGAGTTTGCTGTAAACTAGTGTTCATTCAGGGGCTATGTTTTTTTTTATGATAAAAAAAAGAAGTTGCTTGATTGGTGAATGAAATTGAAATGGGATCGCTTCTTTTTTTCAGTCGGTATTAGCTCCAGACATCTGAAAATTCTGACATCCAATGAGTGCCCCCTGTCGCGATCACTAGGCCAGAGATGTGATAAACCTAATAAAAAATGTTTAAAAAACGCTCACATTTTCGCTGCCACCAGACCGAATTTGGAAATCAGAGAGTAACATTAGTATTCCGACAATAAGTCACTGTGACTGTCCCCGTTTTCCACGGTTCCACACTTCTGCTCGACCAAATTTGACGCGGGTAAAATGAAGCACAGAAAACGCTGTGCTTGTTATCGTCGTCACCCTAGGTGGCCTCTCTACTAAATGCGACATGCCTGACACTCTTCAAAGAATGGCGGTGGGATGCATTTTAATTACAGATAAAGGCTGGCCTGAGTACAGAGACCTCCAAGGGTGCAAAGTGTTAAAGCTGCAACAGGCAGTGCACTTATGTGGAAGAAAGAAGAAAAAAAAACACTATGCCTACTTAAATGACACTAGAGTGAACCAGAAAAGAGCAACTGCAGCTCCGTGGGTTTGCCCTGATTGCTAAAAATAAAATTTTGGCTCCTCGCTGGAAAAAAAAGCACACGGTTTGACTATATAAAGCTACTCCTAGTCAGCAGAGTAATAACGCCATCCAGAACAGTGGCAGATGAAGCTCGTCGGGACAATTAGCAATCCCTGCCATTTAACACTTTAAACAGGCAAACAGTTTCCGTTTTTTCATTACTTCCTACGGCTCCTCCTGTTGAGAACAGCCACATGTGGCCGCTTCTTCTTGCCTGTTTTAAAAGTCTATTGTGAGTCAGAATTAAACAACGGCACCAAAGTAGAAGCGGTCTTTACCTCTAAGAGCCGCGCCGCTTCTAAACATTATAAATCTAATTTTGACTCATTAGTAAACCTCGGGAGTACTTCTGTCTCTGCGATTGTGCGTGTGTGAAACAGCTTCTTTAATTACCCAGGTAATGCAGCCAGATGCTCCATCACTCCGGCAATGGCAGTGATTAAAAGCAGTAAAATATTCATTTCAATCAGACACCCACATGCCACATGTATAATTAATGTGCAATGGAAAGACATGGCAACTTTTTCCACAGTCGCACAGACGTAGACACAGTTCTCCATCACTGTATTCCCTCCACACGCCACGCCACAGCCAGCTGCTGTGTGTGTGCGTGTGTGTGTGTGTTTGTCATGGCGGATTCAAGAAACAGAGCCAGGCTTGAGCCTTTTCGAGCAACGCTCCTCTGGGAGGTCACAGGCCAGCCAGTCTGCATTCTGGGACATCATTCAGCCACCTACACAGCAGATGTGTCGGGCTGTGCTTTCACTGCCCCCCCGACTCTCTCTGGGAGTGTTTTTGTTGGGGAAACAGCATCCTAAGTTTGCCGACTAGCAGGCATTCAGCTTCCTCCCGTGTGGGAGTGCAGCCTTTGCTGCTCCTTCTTCTGCTTTTTCCGCGGCTCTTTGCTCGTCAATACCTCAAAATACCAGCGAGTTGTTCGTCTTAGGTCTCAGAGGCACCCTCACGTCTCCAGTGGGTGGGAGAAAATACAAACACAAAACAATCTGAGACTTGAGGTGGATTTAAAGACATAAAGTAGACGTTTGATTTTCGTTTTTTTTTCCCCTTTTGCTAAAGGCTATGTATGTGAGCACAGACAAGACATAAATATGAGGACTTGTGCAACCTTCCTTTGTGCCAAACACTACAAATCAAACATCTGATTTGAATACAAATTACACTTCTGAAATCTTCTCTTTGTTCCTTACAGTGCCCACATTTACTTTTCATCCGTTTTTTATGTCTCCTCTTTCAATCTGACTGGAGTCTTTGTTTTCCTTGATTAAGCCCTCTGTCACAGTATTGTTTAGGCTCCAGCAGTAAGCTACAATTACCCAGTGCAGTGTGTGTTTTGTATCACACTCATTACAATTACCTCTGGGTGTGTGTCATCTGTTGCCTGCTCATGTTCCAATTTCTCCGAGTGGCAAGGAGGCTTCATCCATCTGCCTCAGTGTGCACACAACAATGTGACCAGAAAATGGGAAGTCTCCATGACAATAACTCTCAGCTGGGCCTCCCTGTCAGTATTCTTTGAGACTGGTGTTCAGCGCTGCATGGTAAAAAAAAAAAAAAGGTGCATCTTCTGTAGCTCCTCAACATGCATACATATCATAAAACCGTCTTTGTATTGAGGATGTACAAAACTGTAACCGTTGACAGATGTTACAAAAGGACTGCGTTGAAGCTGGGCGTGTGGTTTTGCGACTTGCTGGACATAACTTACATTATGAGGTTTCCAGAGCTGTGAACGGCCAGTCGGGATCCACTCCAGGAGCCTGAAATCAAGACGGAGCTGGAAATAGTGCTGCTGCGCCGCATGTGTACATGAGCAAAGCATACTTACACTTCAAAAGAGACTCCCTTTTTAACCAGTTTCTGATTGCTCGGTGTGCCGACAAGAGGGCTTTGATGTTCTTACGCAATGGCACCCAGGCTGAGAATATCACGCACAGAGCAAGTAACACTGTGTTTCCATCCTGTGTTGTTGAACGTGAGCCCCTGATCCATGTCAGTATTTGGATCTCACGGACGGAAAAATGAAAAAGTAACATGGAAAGAAAGAAACATGTTTTTTCGTCTGAGTATTTTAATTGATTCAAAACAGCAGACATGACTTGTTTTTGTTGCTAAATAAAATAACTAAAACTCTTCCAGCTTTTCATGGCACTGTGTTGCCAAAACACACAATCGCAGGCCGCTTCATTAACGACAGACAAAGGCTTTAATTATCTCTGAACAACAAAGCTCCCGGGGTGAATGCAAGGCTTTTTCTCCTGGTTTGTAAGACGATACGGACCGTGCGTCTAAAAAGCAAAACATATAAAAATACAATTTACCACGAATGACAACACGCTTGTAAAAATTTGATTTCATGGTGTGTCCAAGTCGGCCATTTTAATCCACACCAGCCTGCACACATGCCATGTCCCCGTTATATTTGAACTGCATCTGCCCTCCCCTCTTTGCCTGGTGACTGTTCCCACAGGCTGCTGCTGCTGAAAAAAATATCAATATTCTCTCTGTAAAACGCCCCGCATTCAATTACATCTTTTAAAAAGTTCCATGAAAGGCTTCTTTCCTTTTTTTTTTAAAGCTCGATGCTTGCCATTGGTATTCTTGTGCAGAAGGTTATGTTTTTAAAACATACCCCACATAAATCAACCCCTTTTTTGTCCCTCAGGCTAAACATTCGTGGCGTGCATAAGGTGTGTGTCGCATGACAATGTAGATGTCCTCACCCTGCCATGGACGCGGCCTCTCACGTGCACACAAAAGTGCTTACTCTCACCTGCTCCCGAGTGCCAATGAATAATGCACATATTAAACCCAGAACGTATGGAAGGCCTGTTAATTAAGTCAGCTTTTTTCCTGCTCAAGGTTATGTAATCAGTGCAGCATTTTTATAGTCGCTAGACTTGGACAGAATTCCTAATTTACTTTTGATTACTACTTTTGCTTTTGCTGTTTTCGCTTAACGTGTCGTGGTCTCAACGACTTCCACTCATCGCATGACCACCTCCAGTTCCAACTTCTATAGTGGTGGAACCCGAGCAGCCTTTTAAGTGCAGTTGTTGATGTTTGCTAAAGGATCGAGAGGTTTTGGCTCCCCTGTTGGCTGACGTTTTGCAGAAAGTGCTTGGCTCCTTCCCCCTGCAGCAGTAAAGTGGACCGGAGCCCGCCTTTGCTTAACCGATCCACCATTTGTTGAGGAAAGGAGAAAGGTGTGGGGAACCGGCGCTGCAGGCAGCCCCGTGGAAACCGAGGACTCGGGGGCCCTCTACGACCCCGCTCCCGCCCGCTCCTTGTTACTTTCCAGCAAAATGCGGACGGTCTCCAAGAAGACCGCACGGGGGTCGGTCTGAGGCAGAGTGGGGCAAGCACAGCTCCCCCTCAGCTCCAGAGCCTGCGCATGAGGAGAAAATACACAAGTGTGACCACCCTAAGAAACAAAAGCGAAGTTCCTAAATGAAAGTCTAAAGTCTGGGCTATGCTTGGTGGACCCAGATGAAACACAAAGGACTCACCAGGCCAAACCTTTGCCTCACATAGGAAGCCTAACTACATCAGACAGAGCGCCCACAGTGCAGGTCTTTGGAAATGCATGAAGTTGAGACAAAATGGACCTTTACAAAAAACCCATAGTTCCCGCTCTAACACATTTTGGGGCCAAACAATTGTCATTTTAAAGCTCGCTCAAAAGCATCACTTTTGGAGAATTCAGCCAATTGTGCCAAGTTTTGTGTTTCTGAGTGCATCGGCTCCTTTGGTAATGTGACCTGGTGTCAGGGAGAGGCATACCAGCCTGCCACATAACCAGGGCGAACACAGTTTTTACAATCAAGCATCATCAAGGCGTTTACTGGTAAGGTTCGAAGTGGATGGGTCCGCTGGCTCCGTCAAAGCAGTCATGTTCTCACTCGGCACATTCAAATCTCAACTCTAACATGTGCAATGTCATCTGCGACAGCAAATATCCTTATTTCTTATACCGCGTTTTCCCCGAGACAGATGCTTCGATTCGTAGCCGCACATTCCGACTCCAAATGTCACTTTCGTGGCTGTCATCTTTGTCGCCCCTTTCTCACCTTTTAGCAAAGCGCAGAGCACCTGTCTCTCTAAAGACAGTCATCTCGCCAGCTGCTGCAGATTTAGCCCGATAGCTCCTGTTACACAGAGTTGCAGCAGTGTCACAGTAACTCTGAATCATCACACCGCAGCGCTGAATAAATCAACACCAACATCCTGCTTTGTGTACTTAGCTTAACAAGGCTGCACGTGCCACCTCCTTACCACCTCCTGCAAAAAACAGTGCAGGGGGGAACCTCGCTACAGTTGCTTTGCAGCACTTAAGGTTCACGCTCTCCCGTCTACTAAGAGCCGCTTCCAAAACCGTCTGCACGCGCGCACAACACACAGGCTCTCCTTCTCTTGTGCTATCCGTGGACTTAATTTGCTTTGCTTAAGGATGATGAGTGCACTCGTGGAGGTGGAGTGGCCCCTGAAGAGTCGGGTTAAGTAGCTCGGGGTTGTCCCTCCCTCCAAGGTTAAAAACATCACATTATGCATGACTTTCACCTGAGTGAGCTCGGCTGCCGGCTCGCTCGTCTGCGCCGCTATGCCGGATCAAACGGGCCGGGCTGAGGAGCCTGTTATATCTGCGTGCCAGGAGCAGGAGTTGCAAGCCGCGTTTGACAATTAATCCCCAAGCAGCAGTCTCCATCATCTCACTGCCTGTGGCTACAGCCCGGCCTCTGCGACCGCTGCTGCTGGAGGTCAGTCCGCCGCGGTCGAAACGAGCCGGCCCCGGAGCTCGCACACGGCCCACAAAATAGCCACCAGACAGACAATTAGCGGGCTACCCCATCTGTTTGATTTTCGGGCTCCGACCGGGCAGTCCAACTACGATGACACTCTCGGACACAAAGGCACATCCGCATTTTTTTTATTTATTCAGCCTTGTGGTGCCAATGACTGCCTTGCTATCATGCCAGCATGGTGCGCTGGCCTGTGAGATTGAGCTGAAAATGATAAGGCTGTTTTCTTTCAGGTCCCCAGCTCTAATCCTACAAACCGTTTATTACAGCTGGCATCCCACACACTGGCACTGCAGAGCCTTTTTTCCCCCCTGTCTTCCTAAAACCCCGTATCCTTTCCTCTCCCCTTCGAGTCTTTCCTTCCTCTTGGGCCCCCTCTCCATGTCTGAAGGTGGATATACATCTCTCCTGATGCTTCATTAGTTCCATTAAGACTACCTCCAACAGTCTTAAAGCCACTTTGTTTCTCCAGAAGAACAGGCGGGAATAAGGCAATAAAGATCTAAAGATTGACTTCTGATTCTAGGCTAGACAAATATGTGTATAAATACTGGGTTTGCCTATACAAGTCAGAACCTGAGGAATGATCGTTGCATGGGTGGATACCTGTGGTACGAGGCGGTCCAGCTGGCTGGCCCTGTTCCTGTGTGATGGGTGTGTGGACAGCCATTCAGGCAAAGTGGGCTCTCCTGTAAGTCGATCAACAATCTCCAGCTGCTGCCAAAACACCGGGCCCGCTCGTACATCAGCACAGGCCTGGGAAGGACGCACGCACACACACAAGCACACTGCATGAAATTAAAAACGCGCATAATGTGACATCCATCTGTCTCCTGCTGAAATCTTTAGAGAAGCGCAGGTTGTTGTCTAGTTTGACGACAGTGCCCCCTAGTGCCCTGCGGAACAACTGCACAACGTCAGAGCAGACGCCTGTCAGAAAGCCATTACAGAGCTTAACAATTGAACCAGTCGCTTTTTTCAGATCAAAGTCAATATAGTGCAGCGGTGCTTTTCAATGCAGGGGAAGAAATCACAGCTCAAACACAAAATATCCGAAACAGGAGCCTCAGAAATGACCCAGGAGCAATTCAGTGGCTTTCTAAAAGAGAAGGAAATTTGATTTAGTCTTTTCAGAGGGGTTTTAACATATTCTATCTTGTGATATATTCCATTAAGGTTAAAGACATGAGCCTAGAGGAAGGTGATCACAGTGCCCTGTGACTGTTAACGCACTGAAAGTCCCCAAAATGCTACATTCTACATTCCACACAATGTTGAGTATCTTCTTTCATAATTTCCTGTATTTCTTTAGGACTTGAATGTGAGGTTTGAACGTGAGATTTGTATTTAATTAACCTAATGATGTCTTCAAGGCCACGTTAACATTACGAACTAGTCGAAAAACTAAAAAGCCTTTAAGGACAAAGCCCCAGTAAAAAAAAGTGTTGCTTTTTTACAGGCCGAAAAAATACTTTATTAGTAAATAAACCAGAATTTCTGTTCATAAAAAAGTCCATTCCTTTTTAAGGTTGACAGACCAGTGACTTTAATACCTTTGCGGCTAACTGCAGGCCAACTTCATCAGCCTCAGCTTCCAGTTTACGGCTGTACGGTCGATTGAACATCAACTGTTAAAAACAGGGGGACATAAAAAATAAAAAAAAATTGCAAGATAAATGCAAAACAATGACAAGATTTCAGCAAACTTTTACCGCACACTTTGAAACTTTTCCCACACTGGGCAGGATTTCTTATCTAAGATCAAAGCTGATGCATCTTTAATAGGCTGTAGCGCTATGTATTTTCAAATGATGAATAGTAATGCCTCACCTCTGTGAGTTTGTCCTTTGCCCACTGCCCCAGCACTGCCAGGCTGTCGGCGGGACACATGGCCCATATGGCTGTCACCAGAATAAGAGACAGGAGGTCCACAACGTGAGATAAACTGGCCTGTTCTGCCTGGAGGTCGGAAAGTGACAGGAGGGAAGCGAGTGAAGAGGGGAGCAAGTGGTTAGGGTGTAAATGAAAGGGAATGGGTGTGTGAGAGAGAAAGCCGGAGTTTAAAAAGTTGTTCGGGGAGTAAATGAGGCGGCAGGAACATATTGATTGCTCCCATCTACTTTAGCGAAAGGCTTTTGCTGTTATAAATTTTGAGGTTTTAACAGCCCGTCCCATCCAGCACACTTACTGCATGATATCGAGCTCATCGATGCTCATTCCCTACATCTAATTAAAATCTCCTTCAAGGATTTTCTCAGAGGATGGTTTAAGACTTGCAAAACTCCATTACCAGCTTTTTTAAGGGCAAGAAAAAAGGCTTTTACGGCTGGAGGAAAACAGCCATTTGTGGGGATTTAATAAATCATGGATGTGCTCACTGTGGGCAGGACTTTGGTCATCATAGCGCAGATAGAATTAGGTGACTGTCAGTGAGCCTTTCATCAGTAAGTGATGCAACAGCACTGCAATTGAGAGTTTAGCCAATATTACACCCCTGAGACTGAGAGGGATGTTGAAAAATCAAGAGATAACAGTGTATAACTCTGTACTTGAAGCAGCTATAGAATGTCCATAAGCATATCTTTACAGTCTTGTGTAAGAGCAACCTCAAGACCTACAGGAGGAAAAAAAATCCTTTGCTTGCGTTCAACGTTCAAGAAAACTTTGTTTTCTTGAACGTTGTTTGTACTTGAGGTGTTTTCAGTGACTAATCCTTAAGCTCAGCAAGGTCTGCAACAGATCTCATAAGCCTCTAAGATGTCGGCGGTTTTGCATAATGCATAAACTCTTTCTCAGGAATGAACCCAGCTTCCTGTTTTTTAAGCATTAAACTGCATATAGCCATGTCACAGAAAATTTCAGTGTGGCATTTAAGGCGGCGCTCTTTTACTTTGACAGCAGGCCGGTGATGGATTCAGTTAATGGCGATATGCAAGAGTCAAAAAAGTGGGCGGTGACGACTTTGAAATATGAAAGTGGAGTATTGAACTGCTGCAGGTATTTAGTATTTGACATGTCAAGTCCTGCAGTAAATAATAATGTTATGGCATGTTTGAATCACTGGGTGAAACAATGACAGAAATTGATGAAAACTTTAAAGACTGTTATACTTACAGAGTGCTCCAGTATAGCATGTGCCATTTCATGCCCCAGGACAATGGTGAGCTGGTCCTTATCTGCAACAGCATCCAGCATCCCCGTAAACATGAACACTTTCCCGTTCTACATAAAGCAAAACACAATGTGTCCCTGAGCCACATGCTGACCATGCTAAAGTACATGAAGAAAACTTTCCCAACATTATTTATTTTTTTATTTTTTTACTAACCGGCAGGACAAAGGCGTTGACGTTCGGACTATCCACAACGTGGACACTCCAGGAAACTTCCGACACTTCAGGTATGTCCTTGTTCCTTTGCGCTAGGAGCTGTACCAAATGCTCCACCATCTGGTGACGGGGGTCAGTGACTGGAAGCAGGTGCTCTGCAAACTCCTCTATGTGCTAAAACACAGACACCCTGGTAAATATTTGAGGAAGAATTGTGTTTACATTACATTTTGTCAATTCCATCTCATTTTCTTTGCATTTACTTTACTGAGTTGAATGCAAAACACACTATAGTACTGCAATGACAATATTTGTGCCTCTCTCTCTCACCGCCTCTGAGGTCAGCATGGCCAGCTCCATGTACTTCTCTCGGCTGAACACCAGGAGCCGGATCCGTCCAGTCACAGGGGACTCATCGAGGTGCGTCAGGAGGAGGAGGGCTACAATCACCATCGCAAAACCTGTTCCTGCAGCCAGATACCATCTGTGCCTCAGGACCCATTCGCGGAGAAGCTGTCGGCGTTTGGCAGGTAGGCCCACCCACCACTTCCTCAAACTCCTGCACACAGCAGGGAACCTCATGTGTATGCATACAGCCTCATAGAGCCTCATACAGGCCAACAAGGCCTTACACCACACAGAGGAGAAGCATTTGGACTGCTTGGATTTCATTTTGGTGGGACTCTCTTTACTGAATCACACAATTTGAATATTTGTTGAAAGAATAACGTGTTAAGCGTGTAATAGGGACAATGGAAAAAGTATAAGCTGCTATGTCCAATACATAAAAATTCAGCTGATTTGGTGTTCTACACCACTTTAACCTTCCTATGGTGTTAGGGTCCCGACGGACCCGTTTTGAGTTTTAACATGCATAAAAGCACTTCATACATTTGTTTTTTGAGTTGAAACTTTTTGACTTTGTCAGGGACTTCCATTTAAACAAAGTAATTTTTTTTTTTTTTTTTTACTAAATTATAAAGTGCTCTGGTGAAAAAAGTGACTTTTGTGGTGTTCGGGTCATTTGTGACCCGGTTAAAATTTTCTATTATAAAACAATAAAAAATGCCCAAAATTAAATCATGAACACACAGTCAACCAACAGCATGTTCCTCCAACCACTTGAGCTTCATTTAGGGGCTTTTCTCTTTGCCTTTTTGCAAGAACAAACAAAGGGAGACATGTCCAGGCTTGTCAAGCCATTTGAGTGTAGAGGTGGTGACTTGCAGAGTACACATCTCCAATTCACAGGATGCAACAATGAGGAGAAGATTAACTGTAAATGAAGCTTTGGATCACATCTTTGCTGCAAATGAGGCAGAGGACACACAGGATTTTAGCGATGGAGATGAGCAGGCCTCTGAGAACGGAGATGATGTGGAGTACCAATTGGAAGAAACAGACACAACTGATCAGTCTGAAGAGGAGGTCACTGCTGCTGAAGCTGCTCCTGCTGAATCATTCCAATCCAAAAGTGGCAACATCCGTTGGAACACAGTTCCTCCTGATGTGCATGGAAGGACAACTGCTGCAAACATCATCAAAATGACCCCTGGGGTCACGAGGTTTGCTGTGACAAGAGTAAGTGACATCAAGACGTGCTTTGATCTTTTTTTGCCATTGTCACTAAAAAAAGTTATATTTGCTTTGACAAACCTTGAGGGAAAAAAAGTCCATGGCAACACATGGAAAGACATTGATGAGACGTACCTGGATGCCTACATTGGTGTTCTCCTCCTTGCTGGAGTTTACAGATCAAGCAATGAACACACTAAAAGTGTCACTTTTTGCAACACATGCATCTAAACACACACATACACACACAGGCATGTTCTTTGCACAGAGTATTGATAGAACAAGTACTTGATTTCTTTTGATGTGATTTTCTCGATTGGTTTTTGTTTATTTATTTGCAAATCTTTGTTTTATTGTAATTTATTATTATTTATGACTGCTCTGTTTTTCATATTGTTAAATATTGTTTTAAAGTTCTATTGTGTGGGAAAAAAAGACTTGTTTTTGCCCTTTTTTTGAAGCAAATATATACGGGTCCAAAATGACCCGAAACACCATAGACGTTACTATATTTGATAATATTAAAATTAAAATCTTTTTTTTGTTGAACATTTTAAAAATTATTTTAATATCTCTCAGTTACACTCAGGTAACAGAACAACTGATTATTTTGTTGCCTTCTACTCTTAAGGTTCATTTGACCACTTTTATGACATTGAAAACGAGGGGTATGCTGTTAAAACAAAGGCCCAGGGGGCCACAAAAAAATATTAATACCAATCTTTTCATGGATAAGGGAGCCCAACCAGCTAAACAAGAGTTAAGAAAACATTGGATGATAAAAGATTGTTTTTAGGGTATTTTATGGCTGATTTAATACACGGGTCCAAAATGACCCGCTAACACTACAGATGGCAGCAGAAAGCTAACACCAGAGGAAGGTTAAGCCTATGACAACATTACATATTGACACAGTTTCCTACCTTCCCAGTAGAATAGCAGCAAGCTTCTGCAGAGGTTTGAGAACCATCCATATAAGGGGAGCAGGAAAGGCCTTCCTGGGGGCTGAGGTGTGGAAGTGACCCCCACATCGTGTCAGGGCCGGTGCCCGGGGCGCGGGCACGGTGGAGTGGGTCCCAACGCGGAAACACACCGTGCGTCCATTTACGCGGAATAAAGCAGGTGACCCTGTCGCCGCGGCTCTCAGCCGAACAGAGCTCGTTTGAAAGGTGTTTGAGGAGGACACATGGCCCGTCTTCTTCGCGGGGCATCCAGCTTGTTTAAAGTGAAGGAAGTTTGGACGCAGGAGTGTAGAGAGACGAGAAAGGCAACTGTTCCGTAAATGGCTATGACATAGTAAATACATTGTTATTACAGGTCAAATGACGCCTCATGCGACAGAAAGCCTTAACTCGCATATCCTAACTAAGGTACGTGTCGACGCGATACTTTTCGATTTATTCATAGGTGGTTTCATGTCGAGGTCGCGGGACATTCGGCTGTCAAAGTCAATGCTAATGGGCGCGCGAGCTGCTACTAACCTTGGTAGCCGCTGTCCCACAACGGCACACTTTGGCGGTTGCACCTGCGTAAAACAGATTTAGAAAAACCATGGCGCGTGCAGTCCTTTTATTCTACTTTATTCCCGAGCTAATCATCTGGACCTACAAAAAACAAGACGTTTTGCAACTTTGTATGTCTAATAAAAAAACTTTAAAACTGGTAAGATTTGCTAAATATTCCATCTCTCCAAATGATCCCCCCTGGAAACACATCGGTTCCGAAAGTTCCGGTCATTCTGCGAGCTTGCCGCCACTGGTAAAAGGGCACCGTCTCAGTAAATGTTAACCTACATTGACAAAAAATAATCGCTATGGAGGCGATTATTTCTTACATGGAAAAGTATTTTGGTCTCCACATTACATTGGGTAAAATAGATAGTGATGCTGGATGCTGGAAAGAGAGGCAAAAGTGATGAACAAAGCGCACCGAATAGAAAATCAAACCGGGGACAAAATATCAAAATGGGCTTTATTTTTGTACTTAAAGAATATCAGACTGACATAGAACAGATTCAGCCACACGCACAAGGAAATAAAATTCCTCACAGGCAACTTAATCTGTCTCCAGGTGACCATAAGCATGGTGAGGTCTTGGTTCAAGACCACACACGCCTATTACAGACATCTATGGATTTTTGGTGTAAGTTTCCAGGCTAAAATCAAATGAAAATGCCATATATAAAATACAACTAATGAAAAACCACTATGTATGTATTCAGAAAAAAAAGTTATATCTGTACAAGCTTGGTGGGTAAGAATATATAAAGTTGGTTACATAGTACTTCACAGTAAATAGTCATGTTCGGTGGACAACACAGAGCCTAGATGCAACACTGTGCTACTGTCTGTATCTGCGTTTCCTTTTTCTTCCTGATCGAAACACATGTCATCAGAGTCTACGGGCTGTGGCGAGATATTTAAGGGCTCTCCTTCCTCTTGGTCTGGGGACTGCTGCTTTGAAATAAAGTCTGAGAAGAAGAGGGACTGTATCTGAGTAAGAAATAGGTCTCCCTCCTCATTTGGCAGTGCTTCCAGGTGCCTTGCCATAGACATCAGCATCTAGATGGAGAGGTGATATGAAAAGAACAATAAAACAGAAAAAAAGAGGTTTAATATAATAATATTGTCAACTGTAGCACTAATTCATGGGTCTAACTGACCTTCTCCAAACATGTGAGATGGGAGTCTCTCCGGTATAATCTGTCCATCTGCACACTCCTGGTCAACCATAGGCGCAAAATAAATGAAAAAATTTTAAAATGTCGAAAACGATAAGCAACTGTTTAACACTCCATGAAGACAATACTTGTGCTCCACTCACCCAGAGGCTTGAGCATATTTGTGGATGATCCACTGAACCCTCCTAACCATTTGTTCCCAGTCTGGAATGTCTTGGGATGACAGGAAGTTGAATCTGTAAGGCAGCTCTGTGGAGGAACAGAGAGAGACTGATCACCTGATTCTGCTCCCGTAGTTTCCAAGCCTCTTTATCTGAACTGTTCGTTCTGGTTTGGTGATGTGTGTGTGTGTTTGACATACTGTGGAGGCTCGAGGGCTCCTGGCTCTCCTTTACCAACAAGCAGGTAATTTGGGAGTGAGGGGAGGGGTTGGCTGGATCATACGGGCTCACTATCATCCCAATGAAAGGGGCTCCGCCACGTGAGAAATAACTCTGAGTGGAGAAAAGTGGATAAAAGAGTTCATCACTCCACAGCGACCAGCGTGGGACCTCCGCTTGGCGCTGAGCTCATTCCTGCTGGAGTGGCCTTTACCTGGAACTGGTCCTGCGTGGTTATGTCTCGCACCGACGGGTTTGGGTGAAAGGAGGGGTGCGAGTGGTACCAGCCCACGACGCTGAGGCCCAGGGACGACAGCAGGTCGCAGGCCTGCGTCTGGGACACGGGGTCCATCTCACACTGCAGACCGGTGCTCACGCTGTTGCACGGCTCCGCCGCGCTGATCTACACGCACAGGTGTGGGTCGGTTACAGTGGGACAAACTGGGGACAAAAAGCCGTGCTTCTTTTCCTCTGAACAGCTCTCTTCTGCTCCTACCTTCAGCACTTTTGCTTCCTTATTGAAGGTTCCGCCCAGCAGACCAATGACCTCCCCCCTCGACACGTGGGCATGCTGAACACAGGATTACAACACATTTTCTCAAATTATTTTTTGTTTCGTTGCACCTAACATACTCAAAATACATTTTAGTACAATGTGTGGGTGTGGGGAACGCACCATGTCCATTATGAGAAGAGTCTCAGCACACACGATGACTTTGAACGGTTCCTGAGGAAAATGGCAGAGAAGCAGGTGGAATTGTTTTGTTTCCACAGACCACATCAGTTATTGAAATGAGTTGGAAATAATCAATGAAGTCACACCTCTCTGTTGTTAAAAGCAAGACTCCCTGTGGTCTTGTTAAAAAGATCTAATGACCGATCATACTTTCTTTTTGTGAAAAAGGGTCTCATTTTAGATTCAATTTGGTGCTCTCTAATTTCTTCTACCATTTTCTGGGAAAGGATTATGGCACAGCTTTAATTGGAAATCCTTAAAAAATCTACAGCTTTATGGAACATGTTTCTTTCTCTATGCTAAAAGAACCCAGGCTTGCAGCTATTTGCTTTATTTGGTGATTGAAAACGCTTCTTGAAGGTCCCAAAACTTATAAGGTATGGAGGCTAATTTGAAATCCTACACTTGGGCACCATTTGGTGCTCAAACTAAACAATCAACCATAACATACACCAACCTTTCTATTTCTGGGCTCGACAAAACAGGTAAATAAAACGGTTTTAAGAAAAAGCCTCCCACAATTCCAAGCCTAATAAAAACTTATGAAAACAGAGGTTCAAATTCTTTGATGAGCAACCAATATCCCCATTGAGGTGGAACTTCCTTGAAGAACTTCAAACAACTATTGGCTTTGCATTTTTGGCCTTTATAATGTACCAATCTCATGAAATCATTTTTAAAAAACAACCATTCCTTTTAACTTTAAATTCTACTTTCTTTTGCCATATCGGAGATTAAAGACAATGACACTGGAAAGACTGGAATTATGCACGACGGAAAGCCGCTACCGACCTGCGTGTCTTCTTCAAACGATCGGCAAGGAATCAGCTGGAAAGGATCAAAAGACCTGGCGGGCGGATTGAGAACACGGTCAGTGTTGCTGGGTGCACTCTGGGCGCCTGCGTCAGCTGCTCTGCTCACCCTCGGCATCGTGACATCTTGCATGGCTTGGCCTGCCTCCTGGCCACCTCCCTGCGCTGCGCCAGCTCCTCGGCGCTGAGATGCTAACACAGACACACACGCGCCGGATGAGCGGAGATAGTCGCGTAGATTCACAAAACACTTTTTCGATGTGCGTGCAGAGCAAACCTCGTAAGTCTGCCCCTCCAAATCTTTAGGGTCGCGCCAGTTCCCCCACAAGTCCCGCACCCGCCGCTTCCTGGTCCGCTGCAACCAATCAGAGGTCATTTTTAACCTGCCGGGCTGGTAGTTTACAGTCGGGCGCCGGGTTGCGGGTACCTACCATACTTTGCAGCCTCTGGGCCAGCTGATAGGCTTCCAGCACATCCACACTCTCCTTGTTCTTGCAGCGGTCCACCACCCTCGGCCGATTGTACACTGCTTGCTCTACATGGGGAGAGACAAGGGGCAGAGGCACTAGAAAAGGGCCCCCCCCTCCTGAGATTCGCAGACGAAAAGCACGGCGAGCAAAAGGCAGTTTAAGACTCGGCGAGGTTACCGCAATTGAAGTTGATGGCGCCGACCAGCTCCAGGTAGGTGTGGATTCTCCCGATGCAGTTGACGTCCCCGCAGTTCTTCAGACCCGGCCGGACCGAGGTCTTGTTCAGGTATTTGGGTCTGCCCTTCAGCCTGGTGGACAAACACAGTTGCCTCTGTGACGCGGGAACGAACGCACCGGCTCAAGGGGGCAGCACGCTGTGTTCGGCGTACCACTGATCCAGGATGTAGTTCCGAATCTTCAGGTATCTCTCGGGCGTTTTAGATGGCCGTCCCTCGAAGAACTCTGGGATGGCCTGTTTCTCGTCCTCGGTGATGGCTTCTGTGTCCATCTCGATCTCTTGCTCCGGGGCCTTGAGCTCCTCCTCCTCCTCATCGTCATCGTCGTCCTCCGTCTCCCCTCGGCCTCCGTCCAGGCTTTCGATTTCAGCCTTATGGGCGGAGCCTGCGGAGAAAGAACAGCAAGCGGTCAACTAACTTTAAAAAAAGAATTGAGGATGTGAATTTAAAAAAGCACGCTAAAAGTGAATTACCTGTATCGGGATAAGTGGCTTCATCCGGCTGGTCTGTCTGCCGGGAGCTTGGGTCTTGTGGGTCTTGTGGGTCTGGTGTCTGGGGATTGTTTGAGAAAGCAGACTCTGCCTTGCCGGCTTCCTCGTCTCGTCTGTTCAGCTCCGATTCTTCAGGCGTGACGACGGAAGACATTGAACGTCCCGGGCTTTGCTCAGGGCTCAGGGGGGGCTGATCATTTGTGTCGTCCAGCGTCTCTTCTTCTCCCACATGTGCGTCTTTCTCCCACTCCGAGGGGCTCTCTGCTCTCCCGCCGGTCAGAGTTTGCTCATCGGGATCAGAGCGCTCAGCCTTGGCTCCAGCACGCGTTCCATCCCCTGCCCCTTCGCCTTCCTCGCTGGGGTCGTCTGTGATGTCTACATCCTCGTCATCGGACAGCCGCTCTATGCGGACGGTGTTGGCCGCGGTGGGGACAGCGCCGGGCGCGGGCAGGGCAGGCTGCAGGGGCAGCAGCCCGCCACCAGATGGAGCTGCAGCTCTGGGCTCTGAGTTGCTCTGGATTTGGAAAAATGAGAGACCGCTGAGCGTATGGGACCACTTTGTGTGTGAACAGTTTGTTATTTATCAGCCACAGTCTCACCTTGTTCTTGAAGTGCTGCCTGGCATAACTTTTGACTTGAAGGACGGTACGGCTGCCCACCAGCTTGGCGACCTTTGTCCATCGTCGGCCAAACTTGGCCTGTGAAAAAAAGCTGGCTGTCAAAAAGTTCTTCTTTTGCCTACAAACAACTCTGTGGAGTGCAACAATGCTGCTTCAAAGAAGAAACGGTCTCTGACACTGAGCAGCACCGACTCAGTGGCAGCAACAGACGTCAGCTTACCAGGCCTTCCTCAAAGAGCTCTTTCTCCTGTTTGGACCAACGAGATGATGATGCAGAGGCAGAGCTTTTAGCCGGAGACCTTAAGTTCCAACATGTACAAACACTGTGTTAGTTAAAAGAACGCAATGTTGTTTGTGAACACTGGGAAAGAAAAAAAAACAAACTTACCTCTTCATTTTGACTTTTTTGTTGGCGTCAGTGTGCAAAATATGGTCGGGAATCCCCTTACCCGTCAGATAATATCTTCAAGTATAGTTCAGAACAACTGTTATACTGATCAGAGACAGATGATAAATATTTGGGTACTTCACTAACTGTTAACTAGAATATAATAAAGATTGCATGGATGCACAAGGTAGATATAAATCATTCTGCAAGTCTTTTGTGGAGACACCGCCTCACAGAGGAAAAGATAATTTACCACACATTTGCAAACCATTTATAAACTTCAAATATTACAAAGGTCAGATCTGACTGAAGGGTTAGAACTGATTGTGTGACTGTCTGATCTGTCACAGCAGGAGCACCATTTTTTCCAAATAAAGCACAGTTGATTGAATAGGAGGAGAGTTTACCATTTTAATACTTTTTTAAAAACTGTAACTAGACAATTGTTTTGCTAACCTTACTTTTTTTTTTATCTTACTTTGACAGCAAAGCGTTTCTCCTGCGGCAGTTAAAAGGATACTGTTCCTCCAGGAGCATCCTCTCTATCGCCTCTCTGTTCTCGGGACTGATGGAGCTGTCAAGTTCCCAGGGCTGCACAAACCACAAACAGCGTGTTGAGCTAACAGAGCTCCCCCCAGCTAACCACCGGCTAACCGACCAGCACCAGCTCCTACCAGCATCCAGGAGCTGCTCCTGTCCGCGGGCTGCGACAGCTGCTCCGACGCCAGGGCTCCCGCCTCCACCAGGCTACAAAATCCCGACAAAAAAACTAAATATGTTACCAACACACAGCGTTTGTCCTGTAAAGTAACTCGTCCACAACAACCCACTCGGGCTAACGTTTCGGCGTTTGAGCCGTGCGGAGGACCCGGATGTTCACGAGAACCGCGGCTGGCGGCAGCTCGCATGCTAGCCCGAAGCTTGGCTTCTGTTAAACACGAATTGGAAGGCGTTCTTACCCGGCGCTACCGTCAAAGTCATCTCCCTCGATGTCAACATCAAATTCGTCCTCCATGTTGGTGTAGAAACGTAAACAACGGAAAGAGCCTCTCTGGGAGACACGGCTTCCGGTTCAGCCCACAGCGACCCCTGCTGGTCGGAAGTTCTGTCTGGTGACGAATGGATGGACGAAACAGGCATTTCAATTCAAAATTAAAGGAACGACTTGGAACAAAAATACCCCAAAAGAGTTAATAAAATGATAGGAAATACTGTAGTAAGAAAAAAGTAAAGCAAAACTATATTAGGAGATTTTCAAAAGACAAACCAAGTTAAGGTGTGATGGGCTAAAGTGTCTAAGAGCACAGCTGAAGGTTTAAGGCAGATTTGACAGCCCCTGTCTTTGTTTCAGTTGAGACGTTGTACAGTTTAATGGCCCTGGGGACAAACAATCCTTTATCTATTTCTCTTAATCACGACAGTGACAAACAAATGCCACTGCACATGCTCCTCTGTCCCACAATAGTGCTGTTTAGGGGGTGATGTACAGTGTCCCTGGTGGAGAGCATTTTACTCAGGGTCTGTTTCTCTGACGTCTCTCGCCGGTTTTCTTCACCAACCTGTCCTGGTGTTGGCGGCTTTCTGTGCTGCCGCCTGGCTGCTTCTCATCTTTCTACTGTAACAGATGTGAGGGAATATTTGTATGGTATTTTACTACAGAAAGGACAGGGAGAAGTATGAATTCAATTAGATTGTCCAACATGTTGAAATGATTTCTTATGATGGTGAAATCTTTCTGGTATACAAAAACAAAGAGTTACAATTTGTAGTTTCTGTAGAGCAGCAGCATAAAGTCTTTTAGTGAATGTATTTGACTGGTATATTTGACTGATTCATAAATATCTACTATGTCATTCAACCAGTGTTTTAGCTGAAAGCTGATATATTAAATTGGATTCAACAAAGCTGTTGGTCACTAATTGTCCCTGTGTTATCAGCCCTAACTGCCATACAACAAAACAAGAGATGAAGCATCAGGTTCCGTGTTTGCATCCCAAAAACAAATGACTTTATTGAATTTTTACGAAACAATAAACAAAAACCACGTTTGACAACCACACTGTTAGGACCCTCCAATAAAAAAAAAAAAAGAAGTCTTCTTCCCTTGGACTTTCAGTTGTCTCTCCAATACTGAACTGGAAGTGAAAGCAATGAAAACGGAACGCGGTGTTAAAGACAACAAAAGTTTGTTTTTTATTTAGAAAGAATTCACAGTTTCTAATGGCACTACAGATTTTGTAGTAACTCACTGCTCAAAAATACTGTGCAGCTCTTCAGAGTACTCACAGAGAGACAGACAGGGAGGGAGAGAGGAAGGAAAGAGAGCACTTAACATGTAAGTAGAAAAACAAAAAGGCATGAGGAGTCATACAAAGTGCACAATGAGCTTCAACCACTTCTCTGCAGGTGCCTCCTAGTTTCTTGTATCACGGGTATATGTTTGTTGAAAGTAGTCTTTTCCTCATGACAGTCACACATAAGACAGAAAAAATCCCACACGCGTACAGGTATACACACATCATACACATTAAAAGGGCTGGGGGGGGCAGGGGGGGGTTTGCTCAGCTTGTGGAACAAACGATCACATTAATAGTGTTGCAAATCAGAATTATCATTGCTGCATTCCCTTTATTTGATTTTTTTCAACAAAGTCTTTTAAGGTGGGGTAAACACAGCGAATCACACGCTAATATGGTGTGAATTTAGGATAGCAGGAGTGTTAACTGGAGAGCGAGAGCATGTAAAGATCAGCTGGTTCACAGAACATACATTAAGAATGAGAAAGCCTTTCATGCATCTACTGTAAATGTGGGGGGGGGGGGGTTGTAAATGCGAGCAGGCCCACAGTAAGTAGAGGACAGAGCTAACCATGGTGCTTAACAGTTTCTGGAGCAGGGCGAGCTGCAGAAGCCGGATCAGAAAGTAACTATGCTGCTGGGTTTATGGGAGAGGAGCGTCTCTGTCAACATGTGCAGAAAACCAACCACCCGGAGCCAGTCAGAAACGGCACGTACACGCCAACACAGCTTCATCTCAGTCGTTAAAAAAAAACAAAAAAACAAACAAAGAACGAATCTAATACTTTTCCCGCCGGCAGCTATCTGCTACATTTTAACCAAATGTTCATGTAGTTCAGTCACAGTAACGTGCAGGGACTTGAAATCAGTTAGCCCGTCCGGAAAATATTATAAAACCAGCATACAGAGGACGGGGCTGTAGTCAACAGGCAGCTCAGCCCTTCCCACTAGGTTTACCTGTCCAGCACCTCCTATCATACAGAAGCAGCTGTGTGTTGAACCTCATAAAGGCCTCCATTCGAAACCAATACTTAATTATCCTGCTGGATACCAAATCATCCAGAAAAATACCTGGCTGATGTTTCACGGGGAAGGAAAATGCTAGCGAAAGCTTTGTAAAATGAAGCATCTAGGAGGAGATATAACAGAGTGAACAGCTAAAAGAGAGGAATATGTACTTGAGCCGTCCCACCATGACCGCATTGTCCGTACCGCTGAGCAAGTTTTCTATGTAACAGACTCGCATTGCTGAACGACAGCGACCCCTTGCAGGACTGGAAGTCTGGCAAACCAGTGCCTCAATTAGAAAAAATCTATAGACCTTTAAATAAATAAATAGATAAATAAAACTAGTCTGTCAGACTTTGTCTGCAGGGTGCCGGTAGTCGTGTGCGAGATTAAAATGTAAACGGTCATCTCGGGTACCAGATGTGTTCCTGCAGGGCATCAGGCCTCCGAGCAGGAACCCTTCTCCACTATTCTGACTTTTGGGGTTAATTCAAAGAAACCAAAACCACAAAGGACAATGGGTGGGACGTGGAAGCCTCAGAAAAATAGCTAAATTTACCTTCATTAGAGTAACAAAGTCCAATATGAGAGCTTAGTTTCTGCACCTGGGGTGCGGGCGGTGTTTGTGGGCCCAGCCCCAATAACCGAGTGGAGAGGATGAGCTACTGTAAGCTAACGGGATCGGCGATCTGTTGCTGCTACGCTCTATGCGGTTCAATTAAACACCACGTTCACACCTTTTCACGCCATACGCAAACACTTTCTTCATTTAGCTCCTGTGGTTGGCTTGCAACAGACTGACAGAGACGTCGCAAGAATAATGGAGATGTGGGATTGCATTTGAACACTCTGGTCCCATTCAGAACACCTGCATCGTTTCAGATCTAAGACAGGAGGCGTGAATCACAGTAAATCGACGGCAACAATGGACAGTAGCAAGAAAGGTTGCGAGAGGAAACTTGCCATGCTGCTCCATGGTTGTCTTGTAACGACGCCTTCCGTCCAAAACAGCAGCCTAATACTCGTTTAAGGAACGTATAGTTGAGGCCGACACCTCTGGTCGCTGTGCTCGGAGTAAGAAATTATGTGGATGATCTGCTGTCTGGGGATAATGTGCTTTTCCAGAGAGAAAAACAAAAAAAGAGGAAAGAAAAAAAAAAAGATCCTGATGGAGTAGACGTGTACTGTTGTGTGTTTCACTTCCCACCGTGTTGTTTCTCTTTGCATATCAACGATTCCTCGAATTTTCATGTCTTTAAGAATTAAAAAGGTCTACGACAGAGATAAAGGCACATAACCGTAAACGGGTTTCTGACGGGAGTGGGTAAGGACTGGACTACAATGAGCAACTGCTGCTCCACCCACTTCAGCTCCACGGTGCGCCTGGGTGCTCATGGGAAGTGTGGCTCTTTGGGATGGGTGGTGAGACCTCTTCATGAGTCCGTCGCCCTTTAGTGAACACAAAGCTGAGTAAAAGTGTACTGTGAGACATCAGATGTGTCCGTTGACGGCGGTCGGCCCGATGGCCCCGACGCTTATCTCCTTGTTTCCCTTCATGAGCTGCTGCAGACTGGGCAGGGGGCCGACGCCCGCCATGGGGGGGAAGTGCAGCTCCGTCTGCCGAGACTTCCGCCGCTTCGCCGGGCGCTTCTCCTGCCGCGACTTGGCGGGGTTGATGGGGAAAGGGAGGCCGTGGCCGTTGCACAGGCCAGAGGAGGGGAAGAAGGGAGACGGAGGGGGGAGCCGGCTAGTGTAGGACTCCTCCGAATGGGTGGAGGAGCTGCAGCTGCTGGTCTCGGAGGGCATCTCCCTGGTGGTGTAGGAGGACAGTTCCACCGCAGCTGGGGAGGGAGGGGGAGGGGGAAGGGGCAGGGCAGGCGGGGAAGGAGGCTGGGGTGGAGGCGGTGGTGCAGGGAGGCATGAATGGAAGCCATTACACCTTGTGTCCCCATTTGGGAGAGGCGCCGAGGGATCGAATGCCTTCAGGGTTTCAACTTTGTCCAGAGACTTTGACTTGCAGCGCTTTTTCTAAAAAGGTATTTTTAAAAACAACAGAGGGAGAGAAGTTAGTCCTGAAGACCACAAAGTAAGCAAAGCTAGACCTAATATGCATAGGCCATAATCAACCACTTTTTTACTGGACACTGATGGCACACACACTGGGCAGAGAAGGAAGGGTAGGTTCGACAAGGATGATAGAATTTGCTGAAGCTTATTGTACAGTATCTGGGATTAACCTAAATGCATAAACATAACTCCAGTACACTGTGGTTTAACCCAAGAGTACCGGATGCTTCATTTACCAGTAAGCAAGAGCATTTAGTGAAACGAACTGGCCCGTGTGCTGGTACGAGCAGTGTCAGCATAAAAGTGGGGCTTGGCATGCGCTGAATCTCAACACTACTGAACTGATCCTTCACCTTGGCAACTCCACTGAGATCAGATATCTGACCCAGTGACTCGCATCTCTAATCTAAAACACCTTGTGTACAGAATAGCTGACATGAGAGAACACAGCACTTATGTAAGGCGGCCGTCACGGCCAACAGACACTGTACCTTTTTTTCTGGAGAAAACCTTAGAGGTTCTACAATGTACAAGTCATCTGGACCTACTGGGGAGGGGAGAGAGGGGCCAGGTTAATGATGGAATGGCAAAACAGGAAAACATACATGTAACAAGCATGACGTGACCTTGCAAGTAGTTTTATTCATGACAAAAAAAATCGTGCACAAATCAAGGTCCTGATTGGGACCGACAGTCAGAAAAGAAGCGAGCATGTCAAATTTGATATAGATTTGAAAATCAAGCAGAGGGCTGAAATCACAGAAAAGCAAGTGCCAGTTTTTTTATTGATCACTACTTGCAAGCGTCTACCATGAACCAGCGAAGCATTGCGCTCTATTATTACACTCAGTATGCCTGCATGTGAACACAAGCTGGAAATGTCAGCCTCTTGGCCTCAAGGGCAAAATCTCTCTCACACACACACACACTCTGTCGTGGGATAATGAACAGCAGGGGGAGTTTTAGTAGTCCCGAGTCAAAGACTTGGTTATTTTCTTTCTCGCTCCAGCTGATTCGCTGTGGCCACTGTGCTGCTTGGGGCTCTGGCGTGCGAGTAAAGGGCAAAGATTTGAAAGCTGGAGAAAATGAGGAACTGTTGGGTGTCGCAAGAGCTGCAGAACTGAGAAGCCGCAAGCCACAGGGAGCTGCGTTTGTTTGGACTTTTCTTCACACTAACTATGGCAGAAAGTCTCAATGCTGCTAATGTCTCGATGATACAGCCCAGAAGGAAAACAAAGATGGGGGGAAAGTAAAAGATAAACTTGGGGAGAGACTTGTCTTTGGTGTGTGCAGGTGGGCTTCTCGGAGGAGAGTTCCTACCTTCTGCAGAGGGCAGCTGAAATGACTTGGAACGGACGAGTGGGCAGGTCACCCTGCGTTTTAGGCTCATGTCGTCGTAGGAGGAAAAGCATCTGGTGAAGGGAAAAAAGCATGACCGGCATTGATAAACTGTTCCTCATAGTGCCAGTTGAGATTCCAACAGTGTGTGGCGCGATGGGAATAACAGCAACCGACAAATGGAAAACTAAAAGGTGGAATCTTTCCAAACTGTTCCTGGGAGCACTGTGAGGGGCTGCAGGAATTATAACCCCTGATCTGAGAACAGCGGAGCAGTTCTGAGCCATTCGAATGCCAATCCCACAAGGACAAAAATCTCTCATTGATCGGAAGTTTAGCGTGGGGGTGCTCGGATCTGCATGAGGAGGAGACAAACCTTTTGGGGCTGGGGTAGTGGTTGCTTTTGGGGAGGGCGGCGGTGTTGGTACTGGGGCCCGGAGATGAGCTGCGGCAGCACTGAAGACACAGCAGGAGCCCCAGCAACAGACACAGAACCAGAGACACCACCAGGTAGCTCTGACGGTCCGATACCTGCCCAGGGAAAGTGAAAACAATAAAACGGTGGGAAAAAAAACTCAATTAAAAAACCAGGTGTAATTTTGGGGGTGTGGTTATAATTTAATAAACATTAATAGACATCTAATAGACAAATTTAATAGACAAATTGATTACTATTATATTATTATTCCTTCTCATGAGCTGGCAGCTGTCTGTTGTTTTACATCTCAGTTATCTCTCAAAACTGTTAAGATAGCATTTCACTTCAAGCGTAGGCCAGAGGGCACCGTACCTCTCTCTGCAGCTGGCTCACTGTGGCTGTGAGGTTGAGCATCAGTTTGGTGACGTTCTCCAGCTGGCTCTGCAGGAACTGGATGGAATCGGTCTGCTTTTGGTCCTAAAAATACAAACGCATCAGAAAACAGCTGTTCGGTTATCAGTCCATGAATAAAGCCCTTTAATTCTTGTAAGTCAATTTCGTTTTAAAAAGGAGCTTAAAACTTTTGGAAAGTGACCTGCTCCTCAGCAATGCGGGAGGTGTTCTGCAGTTTGGTGATGGTCTTATTGAAGGCCCTCTGCATCTCCTCCATCTGTTTGCGGTATCTGAATAAAGCAGAAAATCAGGGCTTTGCAGCGTAAGCGGTTTAAAACAAACGGGTGCAGCCCGACTGAAAAGCATTCTGGACATGTGCTGGCTTCACCTCTGGCTAAGCTCTTCCAGGTATCTGCTGGACAGGCTCATGTTCATCTCCAGAGCTTTGATCCTGTTGTTCAGTCTCATGAAGACGCTCTCCTTCTGGCTGGACCCGTGAATGGCTCCCCCGTTCAGCAGCACGCCGTTCCCATTCCCTGCCCCGCCGTTATAATCTGCGTTCTGCAGCTCTGCGTAGAAGTCTGTGGCGGTCCGGTGCATGTTGCCGTTCCCGGCGGTGCTCAGTAGCTCCTCCTCCACCGTCTCCTCCATTCGATGGGGCTCTCCTGTGGGAGGGGGAGACTCCCCTTGCTCCCCGTGGATGGCAGGAGCCGGTACGTTTTGTCTTTGCGCTGCCCCACCAGTATCTGTTACTGCTTTGACAGTGTCTGTGTCAGTCGGTGGGACAACTGTTGGGAGCTCAGTGGGAGGAGGCAAAAAGTCCTCCGGCCGTGATGCCGTGGGGAGAGACTGAACAGGCTGCTCCTTGACGGAGGGAACCCCACCACCTGGGGAGGCCGTCTCAGAGGACTGATGCTGTACGGGGGAGCTGACAGAAAGGGTGAGGGTGGAGCTACTGGCCTGCTGAGTCTCTGGGATAGAAGCAGCTTGTAGGGGTGGAGTGGGAACAGGGTCCAAAGCTGGGTCTTTAACGGGGGGCGAGGGCTTCGCCTCCTGTGTGGGCGTGGGCCTCGTTTGGGAGCTGTGGACATCTGAGAAACTGTGGGGCGGGATGGCAGAAGTCCTGCTGGGCTCTAGGAGGATGCTGAGCTCTGGAGTGCGCACATCCGGTTTGTCTGTGTCGGTGAGGGGGGTTTCAACTGGAGGCCTCCCCTCACTGTGGCCTCTGACCGATGCCTCTGGCTCGGGGACTTTCTCTGTCAGGGGAAGCGCCTCTTTGGGAGGCGTGGGGACAGGGGTCGGTGGAGGGGAGTGTGTGACGACAGAGCTGCTCCCGTCAGGGTGGGTGCTTGTTTGAATGCTAATCTGTTTCTTCCTGAGACTGCGCAGCCTCTCCTTGGCCAGCCTGGCGGAGCACCAGCGATGGAGCAGCTCATGCAGCGTGGCCATGCAGGACAGAGACACCGAGGAGAAAGAGGAGAAAGGACAGTACGCCTGGCTCTCCCACTGGTTCCTGTCTGCCTCCTGGCTCGATCTCTCCTGAGTCTTCTCCTCTTCCTCCTCCTCCAGCAGAGTGACTGTTAAATGCCTGGGCTCTTCGTCGTCCTCCTCTACCAGAGTGACGATCTGTTTGTCTTCATGGGACTCTGATGGTGGAGGGGAAGATGCCGAAAGGTCACTGGAGACCTGAGATGCTTCCTCTGGGGCGGGTTGTTCGGGTTTTGCAGGCTCCAGGCTATGGAAATCACAGTGTTAAAAAACAAAACAAAACTTTTTTTGCAGTACATAATCTACAGAGAGAATGGTTTGCTTATCATTGATTATTCTTACACTTCGGGAGGACCTTCGACGGGCTTAGCCTCGACATCTGTGCTTTCCTTGTCTTCAGTCCCTCTTGCTGATGTGTTACCTGGGGTTTGGATAAATGCTTAATGAACAAGCAGGACACACAAAAAACAAAAAAAAACAAAAAAACAAACACTTCGCTGAGCAGTGGAACTTGGCACGGAGAGTCGCTCCCATCCTGTGAAGCTGTGGGAGGTAGATGCACAGAACACAGTGTGGCTGGAACGCCCACTTTGGGGAAGGGAGGAAAAACTGTGAACCGGTCGGGACCAGTCAGGACTGATCTCTCTGCAGCCTCTCTCTGGCTCTGGGGGTGTAAACTGTAATCGGAACCGTGGAAGTCAGCGAGGCACTTTGTGGTGTTTGAAACAAAAAGAAAAAGGAAAAAAATCCAGGGCTGAATCTGCAGACTGGTCTTGGCTTTTTGCCACTTTTATAAAGTTTACTTTTCAACATTAATCGGTGCACCGAATGAGCGACAAATCTACAAATTCATTGTGTAGTTGAGAGTTTTACGTTATTTTTCTTTAGCTTGATCCCAGCTTCGAAAAGTTGAGTAAGAGTTATTTCCAAACAGCTCTCCGTGTGGTAAACAGAACTATGGTAGCCCCTCTGCGCCCTCATACAGAGAGCTCTCTGCCAAGAAGTACACACAGACAGCCAAAGTTCTGCTCAAATGCCCCTGGAGAACCCCTGCCAGCTGCAGAACACACATCTGGTTATTTTAGCACATGTACACAAGAAAAAATTTGGGCAAAGCAAATACTCCTACTTTTGAGAGAGAAATGAAGTGACCTACTTTTTGAAGCAGCTAATCTAAGCAACATGTGGGCAGACAGACCCAGAAGTTTAAAAAAAAACTAAATACAGAGGCAGCGAAACAGTGCGAGCATAAGCAGATTTAAGGAGAAGAAGATTGCTGTGTTCTGATGTAAATCTAGTCACTTTCATCTTGTCTTCGGAAAAATCTGAAACATCTCTAAGATCGTTGTTTACCAGCAAAACCCATTTCCCCTTAACAAAGATTCAATTACAAACACCTGGATCACACGCTCTCAAAATACCATTCTAATTTTGTCCCCTTGAAGTACATTTTCTTCTGATAAACACACTCACAGCCGAGCTGAGTATTAACCTATGGCGCAGTATGTCCTATAAATGAGATTACCACAGCAACAAAACGCACAGAAAAACTGTGGAAACATGCAGGATCTAGTGTTTTTCATTATCTAAGAGTAACCAGATCCCTAGCCCTGATAGCCAAGGACACTTTCGCTATGACACCTACACACGGGTGACTCATGTTCAACAATATCACAGAGTTTCAACAACCTTCATTTCATACGAATGAATCAGTTCTCCTTCATACTGCCTTAAGATAAGATGTGGTTTGCTCGAGCAGACGACTAAAAGAGTCATAAGAACATTAAAAAACAAATTTAAAAAACTCACGCTAATCATCATGTCTTTGACTAAAAGCAACTCCATTCCTGTGTTTTTAGCATCTCTAAAAGCCAACTCTCCAAGCAGCAAATTGGTATTCCACTATTACTTCAATCTCTATATATTATATAATGTCTATAAATGAGAAGAAACATTCAGATTCTGCATATGTCCTTAAATAGAAAGAGTGGGAGTTCTGTACGTGCTAGACATAATCTTATCAGATGTAGAAAAGCTTCCAGGCTGCAATGCAACCATACAATGTCACTAACAATTTCAGAGCAATGAACGGAATCACTGATGGCTCCAGATTCAATCATTTTAAGAGTTAATAAGCTCAGTGTTCCAACCCGAGGACCCATTAGTGTTGACATTAAGTTTTGTGTCCAGTATCTACGAAGATTAACTGTTCAGAATGAGGTAACAGAATTCGGGTGGTAAATTGACATTTAGAAAGAAAAAAATTAGGAGTACCTCCCGCTTGAGCTCCACCTTCTAGTTCTTGCTTGCCACCGAGCACGTTAGCAGCTATGTTGTTTACCATGTTAAGGATTACATCTGAAAGGAAAGAAAAGTGCACAATTCATTACATTTGGAGACATGTCGACCATGACGGGCAGCAGTCGGAGCCAAACATTTATTAAAGAAACCACAGGTATATCCTGTTGTTTAACATAGTCTCTCCCTATTTCTCTTTTTGCCAGAGTAAGCAGTTTAAGAAAAAAATTGTAATCTAGAACTGTTTTAGAAACCTAAAAACCTCAAGACTTTTAAAGGGAGTGAGCTGAAATAATAAAAAGAAACATTCATTCCTGCCACCTTTAGAAAGAGCTTAAATTGGATTGAGCATTCCAAGTTACTGCCGTGTTCTTATTAGATAGAGATCCATCGCCTCGAAGAAGCTTGGCCCTTAATTTAACCCTGAATTTCAACATAGCAAGAAAACAAAAAAGACAGGTACAGATTTTATATTTTAATAGAGGGTTCAAACAAAAGGTTTTTTTATCTTTTATTTAAAAGCAGCAGCATAGGCTTTAATAAAAGGGAGGATGTGTGTCTGAACACTTACTGGTTGCAGAGCCGAGGAGGTTTTTAGAGGCTTTGTCTTCTGATGGTTGGTATCCGGGGGGATAATCTAGAGAAACACACACAACAAGTTAGAGCTAGCATAATGCTGACAGGTTCAAATGAATCAGAAATAGATAAAAGGAAACACAGCTTTCCACCACCTTGTGCTTTCAAAAACTAGTTTCCAGAGCGAGAATGTAATCTTATTGTTTCCCAGCAGGGGAAAAAAGTGTCATGTGTTTAAGAGTGAGGAAGCTACAGAGTTAAACTTAACAAATTCATCAACTTCTCCCGGTTACATACATTTATTTATTTATTTTTATTGTCATCTTACCATAATCTTCCTCCAAGAACTCCATTCTCTCTGAGGGGTACTGGGAATCTGCTATTTCCTCATATTCCTCCACCATGCTGGTACCAAACACCCTACAACAAGATACATGTAAATATTGTGTTACACGTACAAACCTACGACAGAAAAGGTTGAAATACAAAACATCAGCTGTCACACTTTGATGATTTTTACACACTGATCTTAAATCGTCCCAATAAATTGAAATAAATCAAATAAAAAATGTACCTGGAATATCCACATATAAAATTACACATGAACTACTTAGTTTTTTTGGAGCATCTTGTGCAAAGATCCAACTGTTAATTTGTGAATCTTAAAGCCGTGAGCTTTTGAGCTGCACCCCAGACAGAAATGTGTTCATTGGATGGCTATCAGGCTTTCACTATTTAATGAGTCTATTGCCTAAGGGAATAATTAGACAACTGCATGCTGCACATAATGACTAAAAAGGACCACAAAACATCTTGTATTATCTTTTTCGTTTTTCACAATGCAGTTCCGTCTTTACTATGGTGATAAAAAAAAGAATGAAAAGGTTCTGATACAAAACTTGAACATGTTAATACACACTGGAAAAAACACAAGATTTTTTTTAAAGTGCATATGAGGAAATAGCACAAAAGTTTAGGAGGAATTTACTGTTTGGATTTCAATTTTTTATTAATATTTTTTCAAATCCCACCTGATGAGACTGAGGGGGCAGAAATGTTCAGATCCAAAGTGAGAGAGGAGCTCAACCTGCAGGAAAAATAAAACAGATAAACTGTTGAACTTCATATATCAAGTACAGTTAAACTAATCATTTGACCAGCAAAAAGAATGTGCCCCCACAAGCCCCCCTAATACACCCACTATCCATCCAATAAGCACTAGAATAGAAACTCTGGCGGCATAGTTTGTTTGCAGACTAATTGCTTAATGTATTTCACATGCATTAAAGGTGAGACCCCATGAAGCTTAGTGTGTTTTCTAAGTGCACCTTAATCTCTGACAGTAAGTGAAGAGTGCTAACCTTTATGTACTTGATGAACATCTGATGTGAGCAGAAGACATGAGAGGGGACAGAAGGAGAGAGAAATAAAACAAGAAAAAGAAATCAGTGAAGAATGATTCACGCTACAAGCCAGTCAGGAATTTGCACACAATTCAGATCTTTCTGAGGACAAACGCAGACTCTTGTCGCTTTTCAGGCAAGAACACTAAAGAGACGTTTTCTGAAGAGCAGTCTGGAAGATGTACGAACGAGACAAGCTTTCAAGCTCAGGACAGATATCATACGCAAGAAAAAGTTTATAGTTTGAAAATGCTTAAGTTTGAGGAGTAACAGAAGCTGATAAACAAAATCAGTTTATGTAATAAAGGATTTAACATTTGAAAACGGAGAAGCCGTGTCACAGTAAAATCCCACACAGAACATCTACAGTCTATAAGAGAAACGATAACCATTCAGCTGTTTAATCAACTAATTAACAAGTCTGTGTTGTAGAATATTAGTGAATAACAGATAGAAACGTGAGAGAAAAGATAATTAAGAAACAACACCTTAAATCGATTACACCCCATGTCTGTGTATCATTCACAATAGCACTATGTGTGAAAATGTGAAAGCTCAAGTCAAAAGCTGATAGACGTTTGATCAAACTAAATCTGGAATAATTGAAGGGAAACTTAATAAAAAGAGGGGAGTAAAAACTGTAAAGAGGACCCATTAGCCCATTTACTGTAAAGATACAAATACATCAAGATTCCAGTTGTCTATAACTCATATTCTGGTATCTTTTTGAAATATGCTCAAGATAAAACATCAAATATGTGGGATTAAAAAAGGGTTATTTAAATACTGAACAATCCTGATTATGGTGGTGAAATATACTGACATGTATTTTACTTCTTGGTTACTCGTATGGGAACCAGTAAAAAAAAAAATTTTAAACTGGAGGAAAATACTGTTTTTGTCCCTCATCCTTACGCAGTGTGAAATTTAATTACCCACAGTGTCCTCAGTCCAACTTAAGGTCAACTCTGACTCTTGTCTATATCTGCTCATTGATCTTTACAGGAGAAAGTCTCTCACTGAGGTATCAATTCATCAGAAAATCAACTCAGTGATGAAATAGATAACCTAGCATGTAGTCATAAGATGTACCCTGAAGAAAAAAAAAGTTTGACAAGATATTCATCTCTAGGTTTGTGTGGCTACGTTTATTTTCTGAGACCAAAATACCATTGCGAATGAATGGATCCGCTGTTCATGCTGTAAAGTCCATGTGGTTTTTACTTTTAAAGCGGTAAGAAAACGAGATTACCTTCACATATTTAGCGTACAGCTGTTCATCCAGTGGGAAACTCTGGACTATCCGCTCGTCCCGTGCATGGAAAGTGCCCAGCTTTACCCATTTATTGGTGGGATATCTGAAATTGGAGCATGGAAAAAAGTAAGGTGATTTATGCAAGTGCAATGAAATGCTTCAGAAAACAAACAGACATCTTCTCACAGAATGGGTTTAAGCGACTGAAATTCTGTCCTGTCGTGTCCAAGGTTGGAATATATGTACAAGTTCTGAAGGGTTGATGCCGGAAATACACAGCAAGGAATAAAAAATAAAAAAAGAAGAAAAAGAAAAAGGAAAAAGGAAAAATCTGGAACAAACTCCCATGCAATTGATTTTGCTGGCCGAAAAGGTGAAAATGTAAAAAGAGAGTGATAACTAAATGGGTTCAAAAGTAAATTAAAAAGAAATTTGTGCTAAAAAGTTAGCTGGAAGAGCAGGTAAGGTGACTCATTTGTAAGTACTTGTGTTTGCCAAAGAGTCTTATATCAATTAACATAATTAGATTGTGGCTTTTGAACAATGTTATAATAGAAAAAAACAGAGCATACCTGTCACTGATGGAAACTAAAAAGTCTTTAGGTGTCGATGAGAACAGCTCAAAGTTGGCTATGTCCAGCTGTTTGACTTGAATAGGCTCGCAGAGCTCTATGACAAACCTGGAGAGAGCAAAAGCAGATCTTTTTTAAAGCCTTCATACCACCAAACCCTCTCTGCTAAAAGTAGTGAGCATCGGTCTACCAACCATATTTTGGTGCTGCAAGGATTAAGCATATAAAAGTCCATATTCTCCATGAGAATAGCTGAAGTACTCTATGAGAGACAGAAAAAAAATATTAATAACGGATCGCCATCAGATAAAACAACAGCTTTAGTTGCAGTATTGTATAGGATTTTTATTTCTATTTTTTTTAAACAAAGCAAAACAACAGCAGCGGTGGCTGAGTGGCTGTGTTTATGTGCTGGGGACGTGTGTCTAACCTTAGCCTCGCTGTTGGCAGAAAGAATCTTGGCACCACACTCTACAGAGGCGTAGTTATTCTTGAAGTTTTTCTGGACCTTCTTTGTTGGATGGGAGCTGCCAGTGGTTGAGCTGTGGAGAGTCTGACCTGGGCAGGGGGAAGAGTTACATTAGCCCCCACTCCTTACAGACTGAGAGACTCTTAAAAACGGTGGAACAAGCAAAGAAGTTGAGCAAATCACACAAAAAAAAACAAAAAAAACATGCTTCACCCATCACTGCATGTGGCACACACAGAGAGAAAGGGAAAATAGATGAAGAGAGCAAAACAGGAATAGAGTATAAGGAAGGAAGTAACAGCAGATAGAGACAGACAGCTTGAACAGAGGCAACAAAAAGACATGCAAATCAAAACTGATATTTAAGATAAAGATTTTCAGTCTGATAAAGAAAAGTCGGTACCTTCACAGGTAGCAAATTCAAGGTCAGTGACATTATGCTGTCACTATGCAGGAAAATCTAAATTGGCGTGATAATATATACACACATACTTTTCTCCTTCTCCACTTCCATGACTTGCTTCTTCCACTCATCGAAGGTCGGGATATCCTCTTTGCTTGGAACAGATGGATCGGTCTCTCTGGCAGTGTTAGCCTTCCCCATCTGAAATCAAAATGCTGATCTCACACACAAATCCACAACGCGCAGAAGGCCTGAGATCACAATGGACAGGGCTAAGCATGTTTCTTAGCGTCACTGACTCAATATCAGAATAACCTGCCGTGACTAAGAACACCCCAGCACAGAACAAGCTAAACAACAGTCTTTTGTGCTCGATTCCGGCTACTCAGCTAGCCTTTGGCTACTACAGCACAGGGATGCATTGAGTTGGTAATAATATTTTAATGGATTATATAAGTGTCCTTTTGGACGTCACAAGAGCGTCTGATCCCAAAAACCCACAGACTCAGACATGCTCTTATGTAAATGCCTCCGATGGCAAAAAAAACAGAACGCGCCAGCAATAAACAGATTAGCCTTCAGATCTTTGTTTTCTCCGTCTGAACAAATTACCCACAAATACACCGTGAACAACATGGCCTTTGATGCAAGTCCTTTTGTCAGGATACAATCATCCAGATAAAAATAATCCAACAATTCAAAATACAAAAATAAAAAGATACCAAAACCATTTTGACTCAGCATTATCAACGTGAAACGTGCAGTGCTTTGCTGGAACACGTGTGCTCAATAAATTGATTCAAGCTAATTAGCCAGCAGTTATGAGGCTGCCTTCCTGTCTGTTAGCATGGGGGGACGGAAAGACCAGCAGACCCCCTAGGTGTCTCCAGGCCACTGATCATAAGCTTGGGGTGTTAGTGTTTTTCAGCAGCTGTTTTGGGGCCTTTCTGTGCTGGGTTTGATTTATTTTTTTTACACAGGCCGAAGACAAACACGCCGGAGGTTCCAAAATTAGCTGAGTGTGACGGGTTGTTTGCCTGACATTTCAGCTGGGAGAAGATACAGCTCAACACCACCCTTACAGGATGAAGTTTTTTAAACAAATAGATAGATAAAGAGCTTGATAGATAACATTATATCTTGTACACAGTGTTGGGGAGTAACGGATTACATGTAACGACGTTACGTAATTTAATTACAAAAAAAGAGTAACTGTAATTCGTTACAGTTACAATGAGAAAATATGTAATTGAGTTACAGTTACTTCCGAAAATATTAAGAATTACAAATTTAGTTACATTTTTTTAAAAATATAAAGAAAAACCTTTGCAAAATATGCAACTCACTGATAGAGGAAGCGTATTGATTTACTAATATTTGACTGTTTGGTGTTGATGCATGACAAACGTTTATCGATGTCTATGACCTAGCCTAGCCTAGCCTAGCATACCCAACTGTAGGGTGACCAGACGTCCTCTTTTTCCCGGACATGTCCTACATTTCAGACTAGGGTTGTCAAAAGTATCGATACTTCAAAAAGTATAGATACTAAAATGTTGTATCCGGATACGACTAACCTGCCCGATTTATTTATGTATTTATTTACGTTGTTTATGATCATTAACAAGACGTTAGCCTTGAAGTACTAGCTGCGGCCAATAGCTAACAATAACATGCTAAAATTAATCATGGGTTAATACTCATTAAAACCTTAAAGTAATCAAAAAGTAATCAAAAGTAATTAGTTACGTTACTTTTTAAAAGTAATCGAAAAAGTTACACTACAATTACATTTTAAACAAGGTAACTTGTAACTGTAACGGATTACATTTTTAAAGTAACTTACCCAACACTGCTTGTACATTAGAAGAGCTTTGTTCCAGGATTTACAACGGGCAAATAAAAACTGCCTCCATAGAGTAAATGTAAAATTAGTATTTGCAAAATATGATTTTGTAATCTGTTTAATTCACTTTTGATACTTTTCCCATCAGGTTTTTTTAATGCATCGCTACCCTAGTGGTACACTCTGGATCTGCGACGGAGCTGACCTGATTTTTATGGTGTTGAGAAGTGTTGCCCTCCTGCTCCAAGTTGGCCAGCCCATCCTCCAGTTCCTGCCCTTGCTGCTCCTCTCGATCCACTTGTCCTGGAGTGGGCTGAACTTCTGCTTCGACATCGGAGCCATGACTCTGGCTGGACTGCCGGTCTTCTACGCCGGCATCATCCTCGCTACAGCACAGATATGGAGCCAGGGGGGTGGACAAGGGGGAGAGGAATGGATAGGAAGAGAACGAGAACAAAAACAAATGAGTGGACCGTCACACTGGCAAGCATAAGCAACATGTTCTCACGTTATTGGACAACCCTTGGTTGAGGCAGGCAGAACAATGGGAAAAGGAAATTTAGAATAAAAAAAAAAATTGGTTACCAAAACAAAAAGAAAGGTGGAGTGCAAGGCCAGCGGTCGACGGTAGCGCACAGCATAGAGGTGTAGCTTGTACCTGGGTTAGCCATCTCTTTGCGTGGACAGGCTTCTGCTTTTTTAACTCACCTGAGGAGAGGGCGGCCAAAAGGGGGGTTTTCACAGGTTGCCAGTTCGGGGGGAATGTCCCTGCACTGTGAATCAGAGTGCTCAGCAAAGACAAAGCTGTCTACTGGGAGTTCATCTCCTGCACTGGCAACCCGCACTGCACTGAGGGAAAGAAAGGACATGGTGTTTACCACACCTCCTTAAAACGGGGAGGGCAGAGACAAGAGGGTAGAGGGTAGTTAGGGAGAGGTGGGTTGCGGGTTGGGGTGGACGGGATTGCTCGCTGGCTGGGCAGGTACAGAACAGATCCAGATAACAGAAAATATCTGGACGCTGAATACAGACGCCACGGGGCATTAAGTCTTCCTCCAAGTTCGACACAGACGATAACTTGAGTGGTATTGGTCACAGTTCCACAGCCACATGCTCCATCCGGAAAAAACTTCAAAAGTCACTATGTGTGAAAGGTCCAAGTAAGTTCATACGCTAACCCCCAGCTCCATGGAAAGAGATGTCCAGGATGTCCCTCTTCTGAGGTATTTCACTTTTTTATCAGTAAATTCATGGTTTAAAAAAAAAAAACATTTAAAAGAAATGGAAAAACGGGAACGGAAGATAACCAACGGAAATATCTGATACGATAACATGACAGCTTAAAATTTACATCATGCCTGAAGTGGTTTGAAATTGGCTTTAACCTCAATTTGACGACCATGCCGCTTGTTTTTCTATGCCGTCCAATTGGGCATTTTCAGTTCCCTAATGAAACTCATGTGTGGTTAAAGCCAACTTCTGATGGCAGTAAGCCACACCTCTGGAATGGTGACGTGAATCTGAGCTTACCCTGTGTGGGCCGGGCCGGCACCCTGTGAGGTAGGTATGTTTTCAGCTTCATCTGGGGATGCGACGGGGTGCGAGTCCAGGCCGGGGCTCTCAGCGGGGTCCTCACTGGAAGCTTCCGCTGGGGCCGGAGCATCTGAGGCTGGCACCGTCTCTGATGTGCTGTGAACTGGGGCGTCCAAGTCATGGTCCTGGGAGTGAGTCTGCAGGTCCAGGTCAGCCTGGGGCTCTGGGGCGGGTTCTGGCTCAGCAGATGCAGTATCTGACTCTGGGTCTGGCTTTGTCTCCTCCACCTCAGTTTCCAGCAGGTGTGCAGTCTAAGAAGAAAGAACAACAACAACTGTCTACACGCTGGGAACTCTTCCTCCAAACACACGTAATCACATGCATGTTAGATCAATTATGGACCACCTTGGCCGTGGGATTGAGTGCATGGTTGTCTATCTCGTTAGTTCCTGTTTTTCCCTGTGATGGACAGGTGACCAGTCTGAGGTCTACCTCACCTCACCTCACCCCCCACATGACAGCCCAGATAAGCTCCTGGCTTTCTCCCCCCCCAAATAAATAGCTTTAATGTGTGCATTTCACTTTTATCTAATGTGATCCTTTGATAGTATAGAAAACTGATACCATAGATGGAAATGACTCATTTGTTCTTACCTCTTCAGGATTTAAGTCTGCTAGCTTCTCACATGCTGCTCTCTCTGTCTCTAATCCCATATCGTATGATGCAGGTGTCGCCCATTCTTCCACCACCTGGAACGAAAAAAAAAAATAATAATCAGAGGACGCAACAAAAATCTTAAACATCAATTCAATAGTTAATATAGTGATATTTATTTCAAACGCACTTTTAGACAAAACCGTCCTATCTGGAAGTGAAAAAAAGACTTTTGTTGATGCACAAAGACTATGTTCTGAGGCTGATGACAGACTGCCAGAGCCTGTTCAACTGCCCTGCTGGGCCCGTTTGCAGCCCAGTGTGCAAACAATGATCCTCTTTCTTCTGTTCTCATACCAAACACTCACTTCCACAAATGATTATTCATTCTAACGGAAAGTGGCACGAAAACACAGAAACTGAAGCTTTGAGGGCCCATTGGTAAGAACTGACTGTCTCTCATGTTTAATCTTGACAGAGCTTTCCTCAGAGCTGAGATGCTAAGGGTGTTCCCTTTTTTTGCTGCAACACCCACAACGTTTTGGACTTCAAACGCACCTCGTTTTGTGTGGACTCCTGCTCGGGCTCGTGGCTGCGGGAGCCTTTGTCCTGGGCAGGCTGACCTGAGCCAGACGAGCTCTGCTCTGAACAATGCACATGTTGACTGGGGTACCTGGAACACAGACAGGGGGAATGCTTGTTAGCGAATGCAACTGTTGGCCATCGTCGTCCAAACGGGGCCATAAACGGGATTAAAACCCTGCTCTCGAAGTTGATGGCAAAACAACACAACTCTGAGCAACATGTATCCGTCAGTTCAAAGAGTGCCTGCGGTGTATCACATCCTCCACACAGAGAGCACATCCTTCCCTTTGTGTATGTGTGGGCTATGTTAAATGTTCTTACTGGGAAATGAGTTTTTGTACAAATGCTATTACTGCCCAGTAGGATATGCCTGTATATACATGCCATTTGTTTTTATTTCCAATACATCATAGCACTATTTTTCAAATATTTGAAACATTTTGCCATTTTCTTTGCGTTAGTGTGAATCTGTTAGCTGTATGGCTATATGTCCACTCTCCTTGCCACTGTGATACTGGGCTACTTTTTAAACTGCCAACTTTTACTGATTCGGATTACAAAGAGCTGGACTACATTTCATCATAACTGGACAGCCTTACTTGTTTTGTAGATTTACATACATTTTTTAAGTTAAATGTTTACCAATCCAAGACGTAATAACGTAAATCTTACATCATAAAAGAAAGGTCTAAATTAAAAAGGCCCTCCAAGCCAAACCAAAGACCCCTTCATATTGTGTCTCTCAGGTATGGAACGGAACTGTGCATCGAAGTAGAAACTAATTCATGAGAGCTGACCAAAGAAATGTATGACTGTGTTTAACAGATCTACAGTTAAAAAAATAAGGACGGATGATTTATGGAAATGCCGATGCAAAACCGAAAACGTTGAGCAGAGCAACAGAGAGAGAGCATCAGCTGTCATCAAAATACACAAAGAACCAGTTCAGCAAGAAAGCCCCGAGTGAAGCTCCAACCAAAGCCATTCTCCTACAAGGCTCAAATATCAGCAGCAGGAGGGGAGGGGGGGGGCACATGGACATTCATGTTAGCGCCCTGTCAGTCTGAATGTCAGGTGTGAGGCAAGCACAGGGCAGGCATACCCACAACCACAGAGATGAGCGTCTGTGCTGAGCAGGGCTGTGGGATTAGGAGAACCTGTCCATCTGTCCGCGTTCTGCATTCCTCCAGGGGACGGAATGATGAGTCAAGCTATGACAGAGGTCTACTGGCAATTCAAAGGGTCTCTTGAAAAGCTTCTGGAAACAGACAGCCCTGCGTGGAAGATCCCTGAAGATGTAAAATTGAACACCTAATTTGTGTCTGGGAGGGGGTCATGGCTTCTCCTCGGACAAAGAGGAGCCTCCAGTCCTCACCTCCATGTGCTGATTTCCATTCTTCATTCCATGCTGAAAGGTGCATTATTCTGGTTCCATAAGCACCAGAGAGGACAAACAAAACATGCCGAAATGCTTTCACTGGCCCCAATCTAACTTTCCCTATTGTTTTGCTGCTCTACAAGGACATCTTAGGAAAGCTGTGTTGGGAAGGATGTAATAGAAATGAGGGTGTGTGTGTGTGTTCTGGTGAGAGACTGGAGCTGAGCCGAAGACACCTACTGACATGGACGTCATAAACTTAAATGCTGTGCGTAACGTGTTCTGTAAGCACAGTTTTACTCTAAACCAAAACAAAAGGAGAGCCTGCTCACTTGGAGGCAGTTAGCAGAACAAAATGACACATCCTCCAACCTCCTTTCCAGTTAGGAGACTTGCTGCTGCTGCAGCTACGACCCTTCTTTGGCATCTTTGTGTGTAAATTATTTTGTGTATGACCCCCAAGCTGAATGACCCGAACATTTACAGTCAATTACGCCAACCTTAAATCAGGAAACATGGAAAACCTGAAAGCCGAGCTGTCTATACATACTAGGTGGTAAATACAATATGAGCTTTGGACTAACATAGGACCCAGGCTAAACTTAGATCAATAGCTTCAGTTGCGTTTCAAATGTCTGCCATGTCCGGCTTCAGTGTTGGACAGTCTCGGAACACAGATGGAACATGTGAAAGAACATGTCTTCCTCCGATTTTACTTACAAAAACATCAGACTACAAAACATACTGCCAACAAGGAGGACGACAAAGTCCTTAAGCTGGAAGGATTACTTTTCATTGGCACAGAATTCTTTTTTTGACGGGAGAGTATTTTTCTATCAAATATTGGACTGCAGATATTGATTCATCACCTCCACCAATCACAGTTAGTCATCAGCTGGATAAAACAAAAGTAGCAGAAAAAGAAACAAACCCCCAAACTCTTGCAATTCAATGGAAATCCAGGTAAGCTACCCCGCTGCTTTCAGGTGACAGGAAGAAAAAAGTCTGAACAAAAGCATCTACAGGGGCTTTTATCTGACATGGAGGCAAATGTACCCTTTAAACTGCTTCTTCCATTTACAGTGGGACAAACCTGTGGGACCGAGTATGTAAAGTCTTCTTTTCAACTTTATGAAGGACCTTCATTCAACCAGGGAAGCAAACACTTTATGTAAACAGACACGGATGATTTCAAAGATCAGATACCGGAGCCCAGGTTTGGGCGAGTGCGTCACAGTAAAACATCCTTATCGGCTTCCGCGACGACGGAGGCGGAACACCTGGACCTTCACAATGAGACCCGTTGAGGCTGCGGCTCGCCCGAACTTTAAAAGTCTCGAAGCCCGTTTGTTGCAGTCAAACACTCTAAGAAAAAGTATAAGATGTTTGTTTTTTTAAACGTGCGGCCTTTCAAAAGCACGACAGCCTTTATTGAAATGCATGTGAACACAAGTGGGATGTTTTTCTGGGTCAGCCCCTCCGTCGAATGGAAATATCCGAGAGCTGACATTCCTTACAAAGGTGAAAAAAGGGGAAGAACTGGTGAAAGGAAGAGGGAAAAAAAAGACAAAGACGGAGCCAGTCTGAGGGGATCTGCTTTGATGGGGGGGGGCTACTGGGATAATGTGACCTACTTATTAGTTAACAGTTATGCAATGGTGGCAGGATGACCCACAAATGGAAAGAAATACAGACCACCTGAGGACTAAATGAATCAGACATGTTGCCAGCAGAGGCTCATGCCTCTGAAAGAGAAGTCGCGGTGAAAAGTAATGACTCGGCAATCTGCCACTACCCTCGCATCAGCATTCAGGAGCAATGGGAGGATTTCTAGGATTCCCACTCCTCTCTCTCTCTTTCACACCGCCACAATAAGCTCCGTTACTTTTTTTGCCACATGAGCTGTGGGTTGGCACATCAGACAGATGTGCCCCGACAGCCTGCCTGAAGGTCAAAACACACCGTCTGCCCGGGCTCCGGGCGGCCAAAGCCCCCCGCCGCTTCCTGTTGGCTTTGGGAGCATTCAGAACCGGGGGCGTCCGCATCAGTGGCACTGTGGGATCTCACTGTGCTGACACAGAGAGGACGCAGAGCTGCAGAGACAACAAGTGGAGGATTAATCTGCCCACGCCGGTCGCCCGGACATCATCACCAGCTCCGCCGCGACAAAGTGTTCCGCCATCTGCCGCCAGCCGGGACTCTTTTTCCTGCTTATTACAAGTTCTATTACAAAAAAAAAACCCAAAGACACCGTTAGGTCTTTTTGATCTGGACGCCGTTCATCGTTACCCAATGTGACTCCATCGTCCCAACATTCTGAGAACCACGACGCCTTCGCCATGTCGTCCACCCCCCCTCCTCACACAAAGTCATCTTTGTCATGACATTAGACTGCAACTCATGCTGCAAATAGCCCGAGCCAGAGGAGATTAGCTGGAGTCTTTCCTTTTCATGACCTGAATCTGAGGCCAGCTTGTTTACCTCCTCCATTATCTCTCTTCTGCTCTCAAACTGGCACTCATAGGTTTACACACCTAATGGCTCTGGGGACGCTTGTTAAGCCCGTGACGGCCTTCGACGCAAAGTGTCGACTGTCCTCATGTCAACTTGCTGCACAAAATCGACAGGGGGGGCCGTCTGATGGATTGGAGAGTCTTGTGATGTTTTTCTTTTTTTTAAACATATGACGTGATGTTCTTGAGTAATTAACTGTGTAGGAAAGACAGATGGTTACCAGCCCGATGGAGCTTTGGGTTATCGGCTCGCCTGGTCACATGCTTTAAAAGAACAAAACATTCGATTAACAGCCCCTGAAGGGGGAAGAAGAAAAAACACCCATAAAAGTTTGAATATGATATTCACATCCACAGGATTTATATTAATGACAGACAAAAAAGTCCTTTTACACACACACGCGCACAGAAAAAGAGCTGATTAAACAGAGCAGATGAGGATTGTAGGGCAGAGAGATGTGCCAGGGATCACCAGACAAAGTAGGCCAGTGCATCTGCCCCGCAGACTAGAACATGTCGTCACTACTGGAAGAGGAGGAGGAGGAGAGGGTGTGAAGAGCCTTTAGAAAATAAAAAAAAATGTTTTAAAACCTTAAAACAAGCGACTATGGGCGTGTACGTTCACATGTGCGCTCCGATTTTCCTTCACATGGAAGCATGAAATAATGTCGGGCAGCAGTTTGTTCTAAAGCCTGCTGATCCTCCATAATCCCCCCCGCTGGTGGATCCTCATGGCGGCCAGGACACAGCCGCTGGACTGGCAAACAGCTCCTATGTCTGCCCGGCTAAAGTTCTGAACCGGGCGACCCAACCCCCCCCTTTCCCCGCCCCGAGCGGCCGGTCAAGATCCCGCTTTAGCCAGGCAGTTTCCTATAAGTATGAACTACATATCCGCAGCTCAAAACGTGCTCCTCCTCGGATTACTGAGCTGTGTCTGGTGTGTGTTCATAGGTGCATCAAAAACACATTTAACTTATTTACTTTTGACTAAAGACAAACCCACGAGGGCTTCACTGGAAATTGATCAAAGTCTTGACTCCAGGCTCGCGTATTAGCCAACGGGCTCCGAGCGAAGGGCTGATTTCAGTAAGCACCCCACGGCTGTGTGCCAACTTGCTGAACTGGAAGAGCAGAGACGCAGCCATGTGCGCCTTAGCCCTCCAAGACACGGAACAATGGCCTGTGTGCGACACAAAAGGTAGAGGCCCGCACAGGATAGCCAGGCTCACAGGATGAAAACTGAGAACCCTTTTCTGATCCGGCGTTTATTCTGTAAGGCGACTTATTCTTTCCATCCCTTTGAATTAATGAGGGTCGTGGCCGTCCGAACTTGCCCTCGTGGCCAGACCGGGACTGAATCGACGCAAACGTGTGATCCAAGAACTGATAAAATAAGAACAGCCTCTCAATGTCAAGTGGGAAGACGCAGAGGCAACTCCTCCATTGTCAGACCCTACTGCAATGGCCAAACAACAAGAAAGAAAGACTTTGTGTTCATATCTTTAACACTTTCATCAAAACAAGGAAATGCAGCTACAGCACACTGCTTTGAGCGTGGATGGAAACACGCAGTTAACCAGTCAAAGATATGCAAATCACAACCATTACTGACACTGACTGACAGCTTCTAAAAACAACCTGCTTTCAAGATAGAAAATCCCTCATATATTAAAGCACCAAACACTGTTTGGTGCTTTGATGTCTCATGTAATGTCTTATCTTTCAAATAAATGTGTAGTTTCTGAATAGATCACGTGACCCACAATGACAAAAAAAGGAAATCAAAATGAAAACAAAATCAGTCAACAATGAAGAAACCAGTCACACCTGAAATATCTTCACCACCCCATTTACTGCTTGGATCTACATGAGAGAGATACAGTCATTCAGTTAAAACAGTGCGACACAGCTTTTGTCACATCTAAAGGCAAAAAAATCTGTATAATCTCTGCTGCTTTGAGCGACAGCTTGCTTAGTTTTGTGAGCCGAACGCATCCCCTCTCTTTAAGCACGGCGGGGCTGTGACGCACGCCAGTCCTTCAAAGTGTGCACAAGAGGCCTCCTCTAGGAGGACTGAACAGACACACCTCTGTGTGTCCGCTCAGCCACTGGAAGCGGGGCCCAGGCCCCCGCTGAGCCAAACAGCCATCAAAACCGGTGATTAGAGTGTGCCTGCTGCTCTGCTATGATCATTAGCAGAAAATAACAATAATAATAAGATGACCCACGTGACACAACAGCAGAAAGATCAGACGTTTTTCTGCACTCAAATGCAGACGGAGCAAGTTGTAGTTAATCTAACAGCATAAAAAGGCAGAATTCTATGGATCTTTTTTAATATACTGTATGTGTAAAGATTATTTCTACAGTTGTGACTAGCTATCACATCACCTGGGCGGAGGGAAGATGCAATAAAATAGGGCGCCGTGTTTGACGGTAGAAAAGTGCCTTGCTGTTAAAGCGGTGACACAGACCCGTCCCATCGCTTCCCACGGCGACTTTCATAAAAGGAACTGTGGACACGGTTTCGGGGCGGCGAAATGTCCCGCCGGTCCCAGTCGGACCCGGGGATCAGAGATGCTTAGCGGCGAGACATCAGGAACACGGGCTCGGAACAATGGGAGAGAAGGGGGCAGTCATGCGTTTTAATGCGGCCTGAAAGGAGAAGCCACTTTACCGGCCAGAGTTAGTTTATACAAGCGTGAATTTAAAAAAAAAAAGAAAAAAAAGCTGGATATTCCTCCATCATGTGTTCACATGGGGGGGGCGAAAGAAGAACAAAAAAACTCATCACTTATTTACCACGGTACGCGATGTACGAAAGCCCCGTTACACATTTACATTTGCCATACATTACCCCAAACAACCACCGGCTTTATTTCAGCGTTCAGAAGCTGCGGGACAGGCGTCAAAT